AGCTAATGGCTGTCAGGGGCAAATGTGGGAATTTTCTCTGAAAACTTTCTAAAATATTGTCAGGCTTATTGCACTATTATGGAATATTTTGTCTGCACATTTGGTAACCCAAGGTCTTAAATCCTGGGGGCAGAAAAGAGTGGAATTACCATGGAAGGAGGATGAGGAAGAAGATGCAATGCTGCTTGATAAATGCAGCAGCAACAATCATGACCTTGTGACTCCATTAGGGAAGTGAGAGACACAGCGGGGGAGTAGGTGGGGAAAGTAAAAGGCCTGTAAAGCATCTGAGGATCTATTCAAAATGACTGGGAGAAAGAGGGTGAACAAAGAAAATAAATAAATAAATAAAGAATAAAATATTTTTAATGCAGATGAGGAAGAAGGCAGAACAGAGTAGCATTCCTCAATTAAAAAAAAAAAAAAATTGAGGAAGAAGAAAATGAAAACACCTGAGGTGTAATACAGTCACTTGATTGGCACTACATTGGCTCTCAGCATTTAGTGGAGATTACATACCTTTTTCATGTACCAGAGAAAGGTAGGAGACAGGCAATAAGAACAGAAAGAAAAGGGWGCAGGTAAAATAAAGAAAAACATACAGAGAGCCAATGTTCTGTGGACAATTTGAGCTTGAAGTAATAACAAAAAAATAAAACAAAAGGTGTGTGTCTGTTGCTAGACTTCACAGTGAYTGTTGTTCCTCTGTTGAAATGAAAATGCTATTTGTGCATGTCACAAACTGYTCTTTAAAAYCTGTRTTTTTAGAGGGGTTCTGTAGCATCAGTGTCTGTGGATCTACACCTRCACCTATCAAAATGAAGTCTGATCTTCACCCATCCTCCATGGAGCAGGAAAAAACCCACAACTTCCAAGATGTTATCACATCTTGGGCTGCAGTTCTTTGTGAATATAAAACTAAGTAAAACAATATGCTCGTGTTTCTCTGTTAGTTACTTAAGGAAAACAGGAAAATGGCACACAGATTAGTAACACAGGGTCAGGTCTTCGGTCATTCAGGCCAAAGTCCCACTGAAATAAGGTTAATGAAATAACTCATCTGAGCTACTCTTCTTCTGTCTATTCCTTTCAGAAATCAAGCCRTGGTGCCTGTAAGTCCATGCAGTAATATCTGGAAATTATTAATGACAACATCTAGAAGAATCCCAGGTAAATTTTATACTTTRAAGACAGACCACAGAGGAGCTCATCTCTCTGAAGTAAGACTCTCAAAATACAACGAAGYGTATTGGTCAAAAGGAAGAAAACAWYTCCTCTAAAATTACCTAAAAATACCTATTTTAAAATAAAATYCTTWAATAACCTCTAAAATAYCAGTTCAGACATATAAAAATACATAGTGAAAATACAAAAAAATCTTGATGTAACAGTGTTCTTTAAAACTCTTCATGTGACAATTAAAATGTTCTTCTTTCAGAATACATCTGTTCAATTAAATATACTACTGGGGTTTTTCAGTAATTACTTCCAGGAAGAGATTTTTAGATCATTTCAATAAACAACTTAAGCTTTGGCCATTTGTTATAATACATATTTTCATGGTTTTGAGCATCCTAGGGGGATTACACAGATAATTTCTTATGCTTTCTTCTCTCTAGAAAAATCATCCTACTCTTTCTCAAATAGAGGTCAGGGGCACCTTCATTGAGGCCCCTTCAACACTAATTTACAGATCAGCTGCCTGCACTACTGATCTCTTAGGATATGAGTGTCTATATAGAACTTAAAGCATTGGGTTTGAACTAGTAAACTCTAAACAATGATACCTTCTCACTTGTGAAACCACTGATGTCTGTCTCAACTGCTTGCTGACCCTTTCTTTGAGAATCTATTTGCATTGGCTTTTTTTTTCTTGCAATAGTCTGAAATATCTCACATTTATTGTTTTATAGCTAAGGTAGGCATTAATGAAAAAAAAAAGGAAAAATACGATTTTGGGGAGTAAAGATTCTTCTAGTTTGAAAACTGGCATTACCACTTCTTTACAATAAGAACTGAGCCTAGAAATGAAAATCAGTGTGCACAGTTTTATTATCTTATATAGAAATGCATCACAATTTTGTCAGAATTGCAAAAATAATTCACATTTTGTTAAAAAAAATGTGTACTGCATCAGGCAGTGCAAATTTTATACAGTTTTTTTTTTATGTTCAATAAACACATAGGTGGATTGTTAATAGTCTGCATTTCTGAGGAAGAGGACTATGACTTCTTGACAATCTGTTTCTTGGGAATAGTCATTGATTTTGAATTGTTCCATCATTTTTAGTTGAAGGGTTATAAAAGATTTGCACAATACACTGATCTTTTAATATGAAACAAATATATTTAGATTCAAATGTTGTATAAATAGCAAATGATAGTAAATTCAATTGTATCTGACAGACAAGCATACGATTCTTTTAGCTAGTTATATAGCAAAGAAATAAATTTGCATGTCAATGGGAYCAAGTGAAGCCACCAAATTCAAAACAATAACTGTACTCTTGCAGGACTCTGTATTATTAAAATAGGGAAGTTGGAAGAAAATATGATTAATTTGATAATACCAAAATGCTTTTTATGGAGATTTTAATTGTGTCTAAGATTCCATGATAATGTAAGAAATCACTTGACTGGATAATGAACACACAGGGCACTTTTTATTCAAAAAAAGTTTTGATATTAGAAGTTGTAAAACACCATCAATATTCCCTTTGAAATCTTGGTTTGGAGTCTCCCCCATGAAGTGGCACATTGAAGATGGTTGAAAACATTCAACCACAAAAGGAACATGGTTTTTGTAAGAAATGTTTTGGGGCTTTTGACTAGCTCTAGTTAACATTCATTGCAGATTTTTAACATTCTAGTTAACATTCATTGCAATATTTTCGAAACTGTTTCCTGGAAAGAGTGATAGGCAATTGTATTTTGTTTTGAATAAAGCTAATGTAAATTCTGGAAAGAAGCTACAGTTATAACACTTTAAGAAATTTGGGATACATGCAATATAAGAACAGAGAACAGCACACTTTCTACCATAAAAATTCATAGAGGTTGGAAAAAGCCCCCTGAGGTTCAACCATCCCCTCTGCTTAACACAGGTCCACTTAGTTCAATATTCTTGGGGACATGTTCAGCTGAGTTTCAACTCTCTCCAAGGACAGAGATTCCACAAGCACATTGCTTCAAGGATTCATGGCCCTGTGGATAGGACAATGGATTCAGACTTTAAATCCAGTGGTCTTAAACTCCTTGTTACAGGAGTTTTAAGAGTTACACACTCTTTTACRTGACCTTGGATGATTCAGTTTCTCTATTTGCAAGCCTTGAATTATTATTCAAAACTCCTGCCTAATTATATTATTGTATTTTAAACACTGTCTAACCAACAATATATTCAAAGATGCTACCACTGCAAAGTAAATTTTTTTTAACTCTTTGCATTCCACCATGAAAGGAATGAAGCTAAAAAAAAAAAAAAAAAAAAAAAAAACCAAAAAAACAGGGAGAAGCTGCATTTTACATAAACCAGCAGAATATATTTTAAACTCTTACAGCTGCCTCTACACATTGAGGCCTGAACTACTGACGTCTTCAGCTCTTGGATGCTGCATAGAAATCCTTCTAGGATCCTGCACGCACTGACATCTGTTTGCTGGTATCAGAAATGAAGTGATGCCACAGGGCCGGCCACAGGTGACCCGAGGTCGGCACACCCACCCGGTAGCCAAAGGGCAGGGGTGCGGCCACCGGCGTGTGACAGGTRCCCAGGTGGGTTTCACCTGCCGGGAAAACGCCTCCAACCCACAGCCCCTCGGGGAGGAGCACAGCGACAAGAGCTGCGGGACAGCCGGGGCGGGGACGGAGCTCGCACCTTGGCCCACGGGGCTTTCCTGGCGCGGTACTTTCCGGACACGTTTAACCTTTGAGTTACTCCCACTGCGCTCGGAGGGATGGAAACTCCGGGCAGAAATCATTCGGGGAGGGCGGTAAAGGAGGGGAGGTGTTTTCAGGTGACATGAAGTGACCGGGGGCATTTTGGCGGCCCKCACCAGGGGCCGGCGCGCTGCTGCCAGCGGGACGCCCCGGGGGGAACGGCGGCGTTTCTGGGGCCGGGGAGTGAGGAGGTGGTGACGGGGGCGAGGGTCGCATGAGCGAGTGGCTGTGCGGTCACACGGACCGAGGGCCGAGCGAGGGTGGTGCGGGGCGGTTGCCACGGGGCCGAAGCGGCGGGCGAGCTGCGGCGGGGGCTGGTGGCGCAGCGCTCTGCCCGCGGCCTTCGCCCGCCTCCCCGCCCGGGAGCAGCGGCAGTGCCGAGCTCGGAGAGCCGCGACCGGAGCCGCTGCCGAACAAAGGCGCGGGCCAGCGCAGTGACTTCACCGCCGGGCCCGCCCCCGCCCGCGGAACCTGCCCCGCTGCCGTCTCCTGGCAACCCGCGGGCCCGGCGCCCACCCTCCGCCGTGGGGCCGGAGAGGTCCGCGCAGCGCCGCCGGCCGCGGTCCCCCTGCCCTGCCCTCCCCATCCTCGGCAGACCCCGTTCCCGCGGCGCGGAGAGCCGGCGGCTGGGGACGGCAGCGGGCAGCGCCCACC